TGAACCTTCCATGCAAAACTTTTTGTGAATTATTATTCATTTAACTATGTGTGCATTAGGGTAGCTCTTATAAGGCACTTTCTAAAAAAATTCGATATATTTAATGCGCTACTATTCAGTCAGTGGAAAAACTAGCTGGAATATAGTCCGATAGGCTACTTCAATGCACATACGGGAATAATAGCGCATTTTTCCTCAAAGTGAACTGAACAATCGAATTTCAAATATGCTTTGCTACTAAATACTTATTCTTAGAATTAACGATTCATGCTAACAATTTTGGCTGTTAAAGGATATTGAAGGGTACAAATTTTAAAGGACACACATTTTTCAGAGAGGATAACCGACAGCCGGGTTGTGTAGTTATTAGAGCTTTCACACAAGCCATAGCCCGGTTTCATACATTTTGTGTGCTTAAATCGAGACAAATTTAAATTTGATATAGTGTTTCGACTATAGCCAGGCAATGGAAAGAATAGTTAGCGTTGACCGATTCCGCAGAAACTTGGCATGTTCTCTAGTTTTTCTTAGAAATAGAAAGTTGTGAAATATGGCAAATATGGGCTCATTGCGACGCCCTCCATTCTTGAGGGCGAAAACATTACATTTCATCCGATTACGACTAGGGGTATTTTCGATGACAACACTGACAGAGAACGTAAAATACGGAGAACATGCAAAACTATAGCCTGGACATCTATGTACATACATCGTGGCCGGTAATACAGTCACCATACTAATTCACATATGAATTCAATTGATATTAGGGGTATTCTCGAAGTCTTGCAAAGTCCTTGCACGGTACACGATTTGCAAAGCCGTCCGATAGGAAAACCGGTTTTCACCATGCAATCCGTGCACCGTGCACTCTGCATCCTATGGTTTCTGAGTGAACTAGTAAACAAATAAAAAAAAAAATAATAAAATAAATAATTTGGCGACCGCGGTAACCGAGTGGTCAGAACTGTGTACTATTAACAGCTCAGTAGCATCCAGTTTCGATCACCAATGCGATCCATTCTTAGATATCTGTTTTTAATTTTTTCTAATAAATTTAATTTTTTTAGTTTTATGTTATTTCCACGGAAAATAATCAATATTTCTTTAAATTTTAACCAAAAAAATCAACATGTTGTAATTGTCGTAAAACAATTTTAACTACACTCACGTATTTGTGTTCGTACGTCCTACCGTAATTTACAATGATTTTTGTTTTTCGAGTTTAACCAATAAAGATTAAATATAATAACTAATATTTCCTTTTTACTTTTTTCGCTCAAAGATAATAATTATTATTGAATTATATTTTTTCACTTAAGAATAATGATCATTCAAAAAACTCAAAAGCTATAACATTGTGATTTCCAATTCACCGGTAGCGACAATAAAAGGAATACATCCCAAAATTTCCATGTCGAACTTTCAGTAGGTTGCGTCTGTATGGCCTTTTCAATTTTATAATACTCATTATTTTTAAGTGGAAAACTAAAACTCAATAATAATTATTATCTCTGAGCGAAAAACTAAAAATCATATTACATATATTCATTATTTGTGATCGAAAAAATAAAAATCAAATAATAATCATTTTCGTTGAGCGAAAAAATAAAACTCAATAACAGTTTTTGTTTTTAAGCGAAAAAATAAAAATTATAAAAAAATAATTAAATGCTGATTTAAATTATTTTACTCATATAATGATTACTGGTTGTTTCTCTCAAAATTTTTTCAAGTTTATTTAACATTGTGGAGTTCAATTTTATTAAAAGAGACCACAGCAACTATAATTACATTTAAATAAATAAAAGTCATAATTGAAGGAGCGATAAAAGACATAATTTTCGTAGCTGTAGGATTTTAACCCACGACCCCGACCGGCTAGCTTAATCCGCAATACTGCCATCTGTCTGGGTACAATTTGATCAGATCAACTGCGCTGTTAATCCGGATTAAAGTTGCCGCCTGTCTATACTAAAAATCTGGAACTTGATCCGCATCAACTGCAGTTAATTCCCGAGATAATTCCGAATTAACAAGTTGATTCAGATCAACTCTGCCTTAAGTCTTAAGATTTTAATCTTTTACATACACATGTTATTTATTTACTACTTTAAGGGCCGTTTTCACCATCTCTGTTTAACACTAATCTCCAGTTAAACATCGTTACCGACGTTATCGACACAATGCTATATGTGTGTAGTCAGTAACGTCGGTAACGATGGTAGTACTTTCACTGTCCGGTTAACACAATTCGGAGGTATAAGTTCCGGATAAATACAAAAACTGCTCAATCGATCACATGTTATATGTATGCTTGATGTCAAAAACGTCGATAATCATGTTTAACTGGTAGGTAGTGTTAACCAGACTTGAACAAACGGCCCTAAATAAAATAGTACATCATTTACTTTGAAAACAAAAGCGTTTAGTTTCAGTATGTACGAGTATTTTCAGTTCTTCCTTCCGCCTATTGATGAATTGATAGAGCTTACGAGTTCTTCCGCCAGGCGCCACCGACCATCTTGAACCGCCACTGTTTTGACTTTTAATTGTACCGTACGCCGTACAATTGGTCAAAAAACAATACTGCTCCGCAGAAAAAAGTACAATTGGTGACATTATTTATAATCTAAAAAATTAAATCTGAAAATAACGTATGTACCTATACCATATCGAAAAAATTAAAATTCCAAAATAACTTCCAAATATTATTCATAAAATAGGAACGCTACTTTAACGTTTAAATTGTGAATTTATTACAAAAGGTTCTTGAAAAATATACTTTAACAGGTTTAATTTAATTTTTCAAATACCAAGTCCCTGGCGCGGCCGAGGGTGCCCTTTATACCGTCAAAATTAAATTTTGTTTAACACCATTTTTTTTTATATAATGGAACGAAACTGATGACTAGCACAACATTCTTAAAATAAGAGCCACCCTAATGCACATATTGCATGCAAATCTTTAAATTGCTTTTTGTCAAATAGAAAGTGCTAAGATGATTTAAGTTGTTAGGTCAAAAGCTTTTTTTTATATAAATTTCACATTTTCCTCATTAATACGTTTCTTAAATTAATTTGTGTTTTCAGGTGAACAAATGAACATACATATCTACTTACCCGAGTACATGCAAGATTTTTTGTTTTTTGTATTATCAACTTAACGGCATCTTGAAAGCATTTAAATACTTATGGTACTTTAAACCTATAAACTAGGCGTATTTAAGTTTAAGTGGTTTAATTGATTAGCTTTTGAGTATAATTTTTGTTGAATGTAAACTCAGTTTAAACATTTTAAGGCATCATAATTACATCTTTAAAGTATGTATAATTTTATCAGCCACATTTCATTTGCTTATATTTGATCTTTGGTATATATAGAAATTTTAAGCAGCATTTAAAAATCAAATCGTTGGTTAATCAAATAAAAATGTTAATGCATACTATATACATACAGCTTAAACTTAGCACTAACTTAGGCTTAGATTGCAGCGAGGTTTAATGTAGGCGGGCGGGTGGGCATGCGAAAGTTAACTGATAGCCAGTTGTAAAAGAGCCGCGTTAAAGGTATGCAGGTGTACATACATACATACATACATACATATGTAGCATACAGCGTTGGGCTTTCGTTACGCCCCTGAACAGCGTCAATTATGGCAGGAAATTTAAATGCGCGAATGGCCGGTGCTTAAGTATACAAGTTAATTAATATGAATATATGTCGATAAACTTGTGCATTTTACGGCAATAACGCATGCTAAGAAACGTAAACAAATTTGAATTCTTAACAAGGCATGGTGCTGGTGGGCGGGGTGGGGCGGTGTACTTCACTTGCGACGGGAGACTTTGCAGTGCCAGTAATTGCTGCTTTACAACCGTGAGCTGCGCCTAAGATTAGGTTAAATATATACAATACATATGTAAGTGTCGGTGTTTAATACTTTTCGGTTCAATACTGCTAGGTGATTTCTAATTTATCAAATCAAGAACTAAGAAACTACTAAAAATATATAGCCATTAATGGAAAGTCGCAAATAAATAAGTAAAATGTGTGAAATCTTGGACAAACACAATTCGAAAGCATGAAATCAATCCAAAATAATACTTTTTTCTTGGTAATGAGTTTAGGTATTAAATAATTTAATATTTAGTTGCTCATGCAAGCCAATTTAAAACTATGTAAGTATAGCTCATCTTACTAACATTTTCCAAACCGATAGCCGATCAAATGTTCCATTGATATTGCTTTTTGCCAATGCAATATGCATTTATTTGATATGGCAACATTGTCCCTTGCAAGTGGCGCTTAATTATATATGAATGATAATTGTGTAATTTTTTCCACATCGCCCCACACCTGTACCGATTCAATGTATTGAAAATCGCTTTCGGGTTGAAATTGTGTGATATAATTTCGACCATCTTCATACACCGAGTATACATAGATGCCATCATCTTGGAACGCGAATTCTAGGGCAAATTCCGGCCCTAAAAGAGAATACGAATTGGTATTTACAAATGCGTCAGTAGTGTTTATAATTGAGTTAGTGTTGAGAAAGCCTTTGCTTATGCTATCATTAATCATAGCTTTATTAGTATGCGTTAAGTGAGCTTTAAACCGACCATCTAATGTGTCGAACTGCGTTTCTTTGTAGTTCATCCATTCGTCATTTTCCTTGTAGTCCTCGATTAGTACGTTGTTAGCTAGATCCCATTTGAATTGATAAGCGACAGACTGTGGATTTTCGTTAACCTCATTTGCAAAGTTGATGGAAAATCTAAAAAATAACGAGACAAAATTAGAAAAACAAAATTAGCTAAAGTGTGTCAGACTTTTTGAATTTTTCTTTTTAAAACAGAATAAATATATATGTACATATAACAAGTAATTTTTAAGCAAAAAACAAAACTGACCTACATTTTTACGCCGACTCCGAATGGCGGATTTTAATCAGAAGCTGTTTTTAATGACAGAATACACTGGGAGGTTTGTCATTGCCTGCCGAGGGGTGACCGCTATTAGAAGAAAGGTTTTTTGTTTTTGTTTTTTTATATTTTGCTGTTGGTCAGAAAGTGGGTTTGGACCCAGGCCATACGTCCCACTGCTAACCACTACACCACAGCGGCCGTCGAATTAATCTATTTCCGGCGGTGGTTCCAAATATCCCTATCTTGCGCACCCTGGCATTGAAGTCCCCATATAAAATACATGGAAAACTTAATGCGCTTTGAGCGACCTCTAAATATTTTTTGATTTCAAAAAAAAAAAAAAATAGGGGTATATTTTTTCGGTATAGAAAGCATACAAATTCCGACTTTAATTTTTCACATGCATTTTTGGACCACCCTAGTGTACATACATACATTCATACACACTGTACGGCAAAATCAATTTTTTTTTCTGGGTATTGGACCAAACCAATTTTTTTTAAGAGATTGAGTCATTGGTAAAACAGAGATTTCTCCGTTTTTGAAGTTAGCCTCCGAAATCGAAATATGGGCCTTCAAAGTTCGAAATAGGGCCTTTGGTAAACAATTATATTTAATTATTGCACTTACAACGATATCAAGTTTTTGAAAATCGGTTAGTAACTTTTTTGTTTAAAATATTTTTTTTATACAAAAAAAGGTATTTTTTCATTAAAATTTTTTTTTTCTCAAATTTTTATATACGAAGTATACAACTATGCACATCACAAGAAAGGGGAATAAATCATCTTTACAACGATATGAATTTTTTAAAAATTAGTTCAATATTTTCTGAAATATTAAGCTATTAATTTTTCGAAGATCTGACCTTTGACCCGTTATAGCACCTGTAATATAAGCTTTCACAAACAAATTCATATACCATATAAATAAGAGCAAAAGGCGGACCACGTCTGAACTTTTACTTTTTTTGCTTTTTACATGCAATAATTAAAAATAATTTTTTACCAAAGGTCCAATTTCGAACTTCGAAGGCCCATATCTCAATTTCGGAGGCTAACTTCGGAAAACGGAGAAATTACATTTTTTACTTATAACTCAATCTCTTAAAAAAAGTTGTTTTGGTCCAATACCCAGCCGAGTGCTGTACAATGTACATATGTACCAGAGTTGTGAAAAATGCATTAATTTTTTAATGCATTAATAGTATTTAAAGCAATAATGCTAATGTAAAAAATTAATGCATTAAATTGTGAAATTTAATGCAAATTAATATTTCAATGTATTAATTCTGAAAAATGTAAAGCTAATGAAATTTTTTTTTCATTAAATTATCCAAGCCAATGCTAATGAAAAAATTGTAATGAACTAAAATGTTTAAAACTTTTGCTCGTTTGCATTATTAAAAACCATTCAATTTTTTTTCTGGTGAAATATAAATAACCTCTTTTGGAAGGACTTGGAATAATTACTAATAGTTTTTTCAGCTTCATTATATTATTTGTATTTGTAGAAAAATTCTTCTAAACATTGTTAGATGTTTTATGAAAATAAAAGCCAATGTGCATGCAACTCAGAGTGCTTTTGTAGATTTTTATGTTGATTGATGATGCATACCGATTACATATATTATGAGCCAAAAACGGACAGATAGCCAATTTCGCAGCGCATGCACACGACTGAGGACTTACTCTGATCTAATTTAATCAATAAGACGTTTTTTAGTTCCGTTTGACAATAGGTTTTTACATATTTAACGACAAATGCTATTGAACTTGACATAGTGAAAACCAGCCTTAACGTCCGTCACTATCATTTTTGACCTTAAAATTTTACCCTCACCGTCAGTAAAGAAATTTTACTTTAAAATAAAAGTAGTTAATGGGTTTTTAATGCTTGTTATAATTTTAATGCAATAAATTATTGCAATAGCATTCATTTAAACATTTTAATGTCAATACAAAAAAATCATTAGCATTATTTCTTCGGAATTAATGCATTGAAATTTTCATTTACATTAAATATCAAAACTTAATGCATTAATCTTTTTCATTTACATTGAAATGCTATGCATTAAAAAATTTAATGCATTTTTCACAACTCTGATATGTACATATGTTTAAAATATCCAAAAAAGCAATAAAATAAAAAGTAGAACGCGCATCCGAATTCCCAAGCTGCAAATAGTATGTACCTACAAACTTATTCACCTACCTACTTGTCAACAAATTTTCTTTATTTATTGCTGCTGCTAATATGTATGTGGCGCCCACAGCATCACAAATAAGCACGTGGTAGTCAAACTACTTTAAATTTAATGACGGTGACGCTTCATACATACATACATACATATGTACACATAAGTACATAAATTGTTGAGCACTTAACTACTAATTTGTGCCGATTTAAAATTAACAGTGGAATGCATTTGTTCATTGGACCACGGGAGAAGTAAAGTTGGTATTTTAAATTGTACAACAAATTCCAATCATTACAACATCACATTCCCATAACGAAGCGATAAAGAATTCATAAAAAAAAAAATGGATCTTTTGCCTACTTTTATTTTAACAACAAAACCAAAATCTTCACACAACCAAGTAAATCGAAGCTGATCTGTTGGCAAAAGAGCGTAATGGTGTTTTATACCTATGACATCATTTCCAAAAGAACGCAGCAAAAAAAATGTTTCATTTAGTTTTTTGTTTGCCGGGCAGTAGGTAAGTGAAAAGGCAGTGGAATGAAATATGTGATAAAAGAAGGTCAAAGCATGTCTTGAAATGCTATTGCTTCAACACGTGCTCATTAAATATATGTACGAGGGCGGTTGAAAAAATATGCATAAGAATGGGTTTGAAATTGAATATGATTTTTCACAGTCGGAAATGAAACTACTTTAAAAGCAATTTAAAAAGTACTTTTTTACGAACAACAAGTGGTTGGATTGCTTCCTTTTTCATATAAGCAACTAACTATCGGTGCTTCGTTTAAAATCTCCAACAGAAACCAACCAACTGCCAAATTCCGGCGAAATGTCATCTGTTCTCTCACAAGAGAGAAATATCCAAAATAGTACGCGAACAGAAAATTTGCAGAAACTTGCAAGTTAGACGAACAGCTGATATAATTTTTGTTTACATTCAAAAGTGTAAAATTTAAAACGTACGAAAACTCATTACAACGTGGTATCCTGGCACAGTTTATTGATTAAACAAATAACTACTTACTTCTTACAAGTTTACTTAGTCGCATTTTGTAATTTTTAACTTCCAAACCATCAAATTCAATTTTGTGATTTGCGTAAATGCCCACCAGCTGTTTTTGATCAGCTGTTTTCCTGTTGGCAAATTGCTGTTGGCAAAAATTTTTCCAGCAGAAACCAGCAGCTTCCCCTCAAAATGAAATGTCACTTTGCTCTCTCAATTTCCCCTACTTTGCAAGTTTTTTGCGTACGCGAACGCAAAAACTTGTAAGTTTTGGTTAAACATGAACAATTAACAGCTACGCGAACGAACCTTATATTAACATAGCGATGTCCTAGAAGAAAGTCAATTATCCGACTCTGCATTTGATTTAAACTAATTTAATATGTATTTATCAGTATTTTTCGTTTGAATAAGCTTACGTCCTGCACTTCACAGATGCTTCTTCATATTTGGAAGACAAAAATAAAATTATTTTAATTTTAACAATGTTGCCTCTGATGGGGTTCGAACCCGCACATTCTGGAAGCTAACAAATAACAGCAAGCACCTCTGCACGTTCAGCTACAGCCAGACATTTGCATGTGCTTTCAAATTTTTAATTTGAATTACTTACAAGCAGCAAGTTGATTGTAAGACGCTGCATTTCACTCCAAGTTCTTTAAAGAACTTCAAGAGTAGTATGTATGAATTTTTGTTACTTTGAATATTAAAAACTCTGACTATTTCTCAACAAATTTTCACGTAAGTAAACAATTTCAGAGGATAAATTTATCAATCTTAAAAAAAATACCTGGCATGTACACTTTGTTTAGAAATTACCAAAATACCCTTCTCGATATAGATTTTTAAATAACAATCAAAAAGTTTATCTTTTGTAAATTTTTCCTAAAAATGTTTTTACATTTATAATAAAAAATTAAAACAAGTTGTTTTAAATTTTATTGAAAGAATAAAAAATAAAGGCAGTTTTCGCTGTAAGCTTCCTAAAAAATGTTTTTATTTCCCATTTTTATTAAAACATAATGCACTATTTGGAAATTTTACCATCGAAACGCTGGTTGTTCATCTCTACAGCAACCAGCCGCGGTCTTTAAGCTAATTGATTGCTGCCTTATTTTTAGATAGCATTTTCGAAAATCTCTATAGGCTGCAGCTTTGTATGCTGCGTATTTCCCTGCAGCAGCAACACGCTACTCTTCGTCATACCAGTTGTTTCTACGTGGGCCGTAGTATCCAACCATCAACCACGAAGATATTAGAAGATGTTTTCCCACAGCTCATTTATATCCGATCGTTGGAGAGTTTTTGTTTAAGCACGATTGAGAGTCGATTGCGAAATTTCTCGGCTTATGTATTTGCAAGTTAGGTTAAAAAAATCAAATTTTGCTGTGACGGGTGGGACATGCAATAAACATTTCTTATAAAGCTTTCAACTTCTCACCATAATTAAATTTTTGAAATGACGCAGCACTGTTTCAAAGTCCATGAGTTGTACGTTTTTTTTTGTATAATTATATTTTGCATTGTCCCCTTCAATACACGAGTAATGCCTTAACAACTTGATGGTAAAATGCTACATTAGAGATGGTCGCACTATGGTTGCGTTTATAACAATAAAAATAGAGAAAATAGGGATAAATCGATAAAAATCAAT